CTGTGGAGGCAGGGAAGATGAAACTGTACATATAGAAAAGAGATGCAGAAGAGAAATGTATGTAAAATACAGACGTATGGCCATGTGACAACAGACGTAACTGTGTGTGCAGACGTAGGGCCATGTGACAACAGACGTAACTGTGTGTACAGACGTATGGCCATGTGACAACAGATGTAACTGTGTGTGCAGACGTATGGCCATGTGACACCAGACGTAACTGTGTGGGCAGACGTATGGCCATGTGACAACAGATGTAACTGTGTGTGCAGACGTATGGCCATGTGACACCAGACGTAACTGTGTGGGCAGACGTATGGCCATGTGACAACAGATGTAACTGTGTGTGCAGACGTATGGCCATGTGACACCAGACGTAACTGTGTGGGCAGACGTATGGCCATGTGACAACAGATGTAACTGTGTGTGCAGACGTATGGCCATGTGACACCAGACGTAACTGTGTGGGCAGACGTATGGCCATGTGACAACAGATGTAACTGTGTGTGCAGACGTATGGCCATGTGACACCAGACGTAACTGTGTGGGCAGACGTATGGCCATGTGACAACAGATGTAACTGTGTGTGCAGACGTATGGCCATGTGACACCAGACGTAACTGTGTGGGCAGACGTATGGCCATGTGACAACAGATGTAACTGTGTGTGCAGACGTATGGCCATGTGACAACAGACGTAACTGTGTGTACAGACGTATGGCCATGTGACAACAGACGTAACTGTGTGTGCAGATGTATGGCCATGTAGGAGATACATGTATGTAAAGAGAGATATGTAGCAGTGTGAAGAATGTAGCTATGTGGAGACAGAGATTCTCAGAGAGAATTATTTAAGATGAAGTAAAAGAGAAAGTTACCATCAGAACATGTGTTTCCTTATTTACTCTTCAGATGGAAAAGTCTGGCCTTGGCCACATTCATGGGTTGTTTTTACATACCCTGGAGCTAACTGGAAGCTGTCCCCTGCCCTAGTTACCATAGGGATCCAACACTCTCTTCTCACCTCCAAGAGCACCAGGCAGCAAAATCATCTTTTGGTAGTAGTAGGAGGAGGAGAGATGTCCCCTTTTTTATCTATCCAGATGAGATCTACACAAACAACATCTCTTATTATAAAAGGAACACTTCCTTTCAGGGAGTGACTTTATAATGATTTGCCCCTTTTCCTCTATCTTTATGTATATATAAATTTTTTTACGCAGCACTAGAGATGGCTCCCCTGGGAAGGGTGATTGCCATCAAGTCTGACGACTTGCGTTTGCGCTTTCCACGTGGTAGACAGAGAGAACTCACTCCTACAAGTTGTCCTCCGACCTCCATATGCACGCTGTGGCAAACACACACACTCCAAGCAGAAAATAATAAACTAATTTAAAAACTTTTATGTCCATTCTGTATATACTTCTATCCTGACACCTTACTCGACATTCTCTGTGAAAAGAGAGGTTATCTGGCCATGATCCCATGGACACAGGACACATGGGGGAAGGACCTGTTAGAGGAAGGTCAAGAGACTAGAGAGGGGCAGGTCACATGGGCATGGCATAAGGACGGTAGGTATGTGTCTGGAGTGACAGAAGGGTGTCAGGGTGGCGACATACCACAGGGCCAGCATTCTGTCTCAAGCAGAGAAAACCTGAAAAGACAGTGGTTGTGAGGGAGGAAAGAAAAGCTGAGGACTCCTACACAATTTCTCTTCTAGGGTTCTCGTGGCTGCTGAACAGCGGACACATGGATTCCAGTTCCTCCCATTGTAACAAGGGCAGAGAGCTGACATCTACTATGACTTTTAAGCAGCAACACTCTTGACTGGTTTAGGCAGTATGTAACAGGTTTCAGAGGCTCTGGATACATGGCTCCCATGAACCGTGCCCAATGTGACCCAGGGCACCAGAGGAGCTGGTAGGCTGGCTTGGCTTGAATTGGCCCAAACCTAGCATCACCATAACATGGATCTTTGTTTGTTTGTTTTTCTAGACAGGGTTTCTCTGTATTGCTTTGGAGCCTGTCCTGAAACTAGTTCTTGTAGACCAGACTGGGCTTGAACTCACAGAGATTTGCCTGCCTCTGCCTCCCAAGTGCTGGGATTAAAGGCTTGGAACACTAATGTCCACCTGACAAGGATCTTTTTTTTTTTTTTTTTGATGCAAACAGCATGAGGCTTTATTATAGTTGTTTAACGAGCTAATCCCATGTTAGCTCGGGTCTTTCATCCACCCTCCATGGCTAGGAAAGACAGCTCGAAGTGTCTGCATAGAGATCTTATAGGGCAGCATAAGGGGAGTGTCTAGGGGTACGCACAGGCTCAGGATTGGTGTGGCTCCAGGCTTGGAGGGCTTGCCCTGTGTTGTTTGGTCAACAGGTTGTTATGGCCCATAGGCCCTCCCAGGGTGGGTTGCTCTGCTCTGCTCATCATTGCTGTGCACTTGTCCGTAAAGCACACCCAGAGCCATAAAGCATAGCACCACCAGCTAACTTCTGATTGGTTCCTTGCCATAGTTTGAAGTCTAATTTGTCAGTTATTAGGATTGCTATACCGGCTTTTTTCTTGGGCCCATTTTTTTTTTTTTTTTTGGAAATTCCAATCATGGAATTGCTGTCTCTCCAGCGTCCCCATCAGGGAGTGAGAGATATTGGCATCCCCATGCAAGGGAGTTCCTTCTGACTTAGTATTTCAACCAGGGAAAATGGGCGACGTATTCATTCCCATGCTACTTCCTGCTGACTTTGGGACAAAGTTAGGGACCCAAGCAGGCTGAAATGCTAGTCAAAAGCAAAAAAGGGAATTTAGGCAATGGGGATTCCATCAGGAGCGGTTGGCAGACTCTGTTGCAGAGACAGGGGGTGTCCATATCAGCTGGACTGGTTCACATCCACAGCAAGTCCAGGGTTCGCAATCTACTTAGGAACAGCCTGTAGCCTGACAAGGGTCTTAATTTAAACTAATAGGCATACATCCCTGTGCATCTGGGTTGTTATGGGCCTGATAGGCAGTGTCCTCAGCCTCAGCCTTCATCTTTAGGACTCAGTGTGTAGTGCTGTTGTTTAAAAAAATATATTTATTGTGCGTGTGTGCACCCAAGGGCATGTCTGTGCACCATGTGTGTGCCAGAGCCTGTGGAGGCCAGAAAAGGCATCGTATTCACTGGAACTGTAGTTATTGGTTGTGAGCTGTCATGTGGGTGCTGGGATTCAAACTGAGTTCTTCTCCAAGAGCAGAAAGTGCCCTTAATCTTTAACCTATCTTTCCAGACCTGTTTTGTGGGGTTTTTATGTTTCTCACTATCAAGTGTATTTCCTAGCAGACTTATGGCTTTATATAATCATTGATTTACTATTTTTTACTTAACAATTTATATCATGAAGGCTTTTTTTTTTTTTTTTTTTTTTTTTTTTTTTTTTTTGGTTTTTGGAGACAGGGTTTCTCTGTGTAGCTTTGGAGCCTATCCTGGAACTTGCTCTATAGACCAGGCTGGCCTCGAACTCACAGAGATCCGCCTGCCTCTGCCTCTCGAGTGCTGGGATTAAAGGCGTGTGCAACCAACGCCGGGCTTTATGAAGGCTTTTCTGAAGCATGGGTTATAGTCTATAAATTATGAAATTATTCAAGTTGGCATTACGATAAAGAAGAGAAATGAGCCCAAGAGGAGCAGAGTGAGGGTGAGGACAAGTGGGAGTCAGGAAGAGGGTCTACAAAGAGAGGTTCATGGGGAATTTGAGGGCCTAGCTGTCCTCCCCAGGAGAGCGGTGCCCACAGGTATCACCTCTTCCTAGTCCCTGAGGACTCCCTGCAGACAGGCCCTCTTCACCCCCTTGTGGTGGGAGTGTGGTGATGCATCATTTTGGACCTAATTCTCTCCTAAGACCCTGGGACCTGACAGCAAGATCCCTGAAACTCGCTATTGCTATGAATTAGCAGGCAGATCTGTGTGCCTGGAACAAAGCTGGTACAGCCCCCTCCACCCCAGCTGGAGCAGGAGATGATAGGGAAGTGCAGGGGTTTAGCAGAAGGGAAAGAACCAGAGGGGAATGAACCCTGAGGACCAAGGGTCTTGGAGCTTGGAATTCCCCCCAACTTTAGAAAAAGTTGAGTTGCAGAATAAGCACCTAACAACCACAGGAAAGAGTCGGTTATTGTGAGTACCAGAGAGAGGCCCGGACCATTGCTTAGCAGACCCTTCCCCAGTAAAACGCTGTCCCTGTTTCTGCACGGGACATGAATGGGCCCCTGTGCCTCTCCCTAGACAAGGGACATAGGCTACTGTGTCTAGCAAACACAGACAGGGTTCTTCCTTGTTGCTCCAAGTGGGTGGTGATAGGTTCATGAATGTTTGCAGGGTGGTGAGGGCACCAAGGGGCTCCAAATCCTGGGAACATGATCAGCCCATGGTGCTGGCCTTGCTCTGGGCTCTCCAAGCATAGGAATCAACTCTTCAGGGGGCTCCCCACAGGTTCCAGTCACTCATGAGACTCCCTCATCTGGAGAAAGAGGGAGACGGAGAGGGGGGAAGAAAGGAAAGGAGACAGTAAGGAATGGAGGGGAAGAGAGAGAGAGGCAGGGGGAGAGGTTGCTCGAGAGCCTGGATTGGGTCTGTGTGAGGTTCAGATACTCTGGTACAACCATGTAGAGATCCCACCAGCACAGACAGCTTACACAAATAAGCAGGTACACCACACACACTTGGGATGCTCTGAAATACTTTGATGCCCCCCCCCAGATCCCAACAAAGTTATGTTTTTTGTACAGGAGGGCATCCTGAATAAAAAAAAAGAATGACAATTCTGCTGAAATGCAAATTTCCTCTGGAGTCCTGGGAGGACCCTGAAGATCTGCTCTCAGAGTCAAAGTGAGGGCTTGGGGACCAAGGATTCTTGTGAGCCTGTCTCAAGTCAACCATAGCCAGCAGAGGTTCTTTGTACTCTGCTGTCTGGAACTAATAAGGCCCCTTGAGTACCTTTTGGGGCACACCTTGGGAGATCTTAGGGCAGTGCCAGGTAGGGACTATGAGGAGACCCAGGACTCAGACCAGGCCCTGGGACTTCATATCTGTGGTGCTTCCGGGAACCATAGTGCTTGTACCAGGCAAATGCAATGATTCCTATGATGACGACCACGACAATGATGATGATGATGATGATCATGACAATGGTGACATCTGTGTGCACTGCAGGTGGGGGCTCAGCAATGACCTGCAAGCTCTCGGGCTCCTGGTCCTCAGTGTCTGGGTCTGGAGCAGGGAAGTAAATGAGAATTGGCTTGCATAATTCATTCATTCTAGCGCTGCTCACTTCACCCCCGCACCCCTCCCACCCCTCAACACTCCCTTCGTGGACTCCTATATGGGCAGGAAAGGGTTGTGGAGGAGGCTAGGAGGGGGCTATGGTGGGGCTCCAGGAATAGTGACCATGTTGCCAGAGTGGGGGAAATGTGAAGATCCTGTACTTTTGGAATCAGAGTACATGAACTGTTTCCAGCCTCCAGTCCCTTCCTGGTCTTGGGGCTCTGCCAGAGACAAATGACCAGGTTTGGGCACGGCAGCCCTGGTGTGCCTCCAGGTTAGAGTAGAGGGAATTCTGCTGTCACCCCCAATCTCCTAGGGCCTCAGATGACTATGGTAGATTGAACTGGTTTTAAGGACCAGAGGGAGTGGAGCCTGGAGGGAGTAGGCAGGAAGGGGGGGGTGAGGAGGGCATTGGTCTCGACACACAGGGTCCTTGTTTGTGTGTAGAAGCAGATGGAATCCAGAGCTCAGTTGTGAGGGGCTCCTCCCTGCTCCTTCCTCCCCTGCTCACCAACTCTCTTCCCAGCCTGAAGCTCACCAGTAACATTCAGGACGATGAACTGGTCTGGTGGTCTCTGGTTTCCATTCAGCCTCCACACGTACTGCCCTGCGTGAATGTCCTGCACGTCTGTGATCACCAGGTAGGCCTGGCCTCCTTGAATCTGAAGCTGCCAGGAATCATTAAAGTAGTTTCCTGGAGGCTTTGTGTTAAAGATGGTACTGGTCTTTCCATTGGCAGTCAGCCCAATGGTGACATCTCTGAAGGTGTTGGAGATGTTACAGGCCATCACCACGCGGTTGCCTCTGGGTGCAGACACTTCTGATTCAGTGCATGTGGGGTTGTCCCAGGCTGTGTAGAGAACCCAGTCTTTACTTTGCAGCTGAGGCATGGTCTTTAATTCCCTACCAATGCCCCGGTAGTGATCCCAGAACTATTAGTGCTCCACTGTCAGCAATCATCAGGGGTACATGGCTCAACCTTCTGTAGCCCATACTTCAACCATACTGGGTCTATAAAGCCAAGGTCACTACCTGGGCCTGACCTTAGACTGACCATGCCGCCATTGATGGGGGAAGTCCTTTTGTGTATATGTTCATCTTTTTTTTTTTTTTTTAAAGATTTTATTTTTATTATGTATACAACATTCTGCTTCCATGTATATCTGTACACCAGAAGAGGGCACCAGATCTCATAATGGATGGTTGTGAACCACCATGTAGTTGCTGGGAATTGAACTCAGGACCTCTGGAAGAGCAGTCGGTGCTCTTAACCTCTGAGCCATCTCTCCAGCCCGTTTATGTTCATCTTATTGGTTGATAAATAAAGCACTGTGGGCCAACAGGGAAGCAAGATAGGTGGGGCTAGGAGTCGAGGAGGATTCTGGGAAATGTAGTAAAGAGGAGAGTCTCCATGTGATCCTGTGAAGAGGACACGTGCCACTGGCACCCTCGATAAGTCTTTATAAAATATACAGATTAATGGTTATGGTTGATACTTAAGACAGAGCTAGCAAATAAGAAATCCTAGTCACTGGCCAGCAGCACTGTAACTAATATTAATCTCAGTGTGTTATTTGGGGGCCTTACCGTGGCGGCAGAACTTAGGTGGCTGGCACAAAGAGTTATTGTTATACACCATATCTAGCCTTGAGGCCATCCACTTGAGAGATGTAAAACCCAGACTTACTTTGTGTATGGGCATTCAGGGAGGCAGCCAGGAGAAGGAGGGTCCAGAGAATTCTGGGACATGGGCCAGTGGATGTTACAGAGTAGGCCACCATGGCTCATTCATTGAATGGGCCACAGGAAACAATTGTTCTGGTCAGCAGTTTTTTGTACACTACCTAGAGGAAGGAAAAAGAAGAGGTCAGAAGTCCCCAAAGCTGCCTCAGAGGCCCATAAAGACAGCACCAGTCTGAGAAGGGCTGTGCATCCTAGGGTCCTTGAGCTCCTCCTGGGTACTCCTCCACAGATTCCTGAGCCTGTGAGGGGCCCCAGGCACCAATGCACCACTTTCCTGCCGTCCTTACATTTGCTAAGGAGTGTGGGGCTGGCTGAGGGAAAGCAATGGGCAGATAGATGAAGCCAGGAGTGAGGAGCATTTGCTGGCTGTTCTGCACACTTCCTTCTTAGAGCTGTATAGTTAGCCAGGCAAACTGCTTGGGTTGTACTTTGTACAGTAACAGGGTCATGTTTACGGTTTTGTCCCATTGGCTTGCCCTATGCACTAAGTGGCCTCTGTTTGGTGCATAGTGCCTGAGGTCTCAGAGCTGTCTTGTCACCAGTGCCTGCTCTCCCCACATCATGCCCGTCCTTCACTTGCTCAGTCATCATCCTTGCACTGAGCACCATGGCTTATAGGATGTGGTCTGTGAGTCCAACAATGGCTGTCTCGTGCCAGAGAGGCCAAGAATCTGACAATTATTCAGTCCACTAGGCTGGACATCTCAGCTCTCATGGTCTGGTGCTGAAGGCCTGCAGGATTGCTGCTGGTCTTTAGTCTATGTTGAACTCCTGTAGAGGTTAGGTCCTAACACTGGTGAAGGAGTGAACACAGAAGCAACCAGACAGACGAAACTTCCAGTGAGGGTGAGGGCAAGCAGGCAAAAATCCAAGCTTCCTTCTTCCATTCCTCTTGTCTGCACGGCCACCAGAAGGTGCTACCCGTGTTTGGGGTGGTTCTTCTTGCTTCAAATAATCCGATCAAGGGAATTCCACACAGATGTTCCCAGAAGCTTGTGTTTTAGTTGGTCAGTGATGTGGTCAAGTTGACAACCAGGATTAGCCACCACAATAACTCATGCCAGAAAAGGTGAGACGTTGTTCAGATCTGCACCCATCTGCCAACCAGCCTTCCCAGTGCCTTCCTGCTTAAACCCTGAGTTCTGCCTACTTGCCCCATCACATATTACTTTTGTACTATTCTTCTTCTTCCTCTTCTTCTTCCTCTTCTTCTTCCTCTTCTTCTTCT